ATCATTATAAAAGAAACTTACCTTAATTTTTGTTTAGCTATATTCTAGCATGCTTGTTATAAATAGCAAGGTATTTTCATTTTTTAGCAAGCTAGTCAAATTTTGAATAACCCTTTGGAGCATGAAATTTTGTATATGCTTGTCAAATTATAACATATAGCAAGTCATTTGGCTATGGTTGGAGATGTTCTTACGCATTGGTGACCCCTACCCTATTTCTTTTTATTTACTTTTTAGTTATTCTCAATCAATCAAAATTTAACTTGCCTTCGTGTCTGATCTACCTATCAAAATATCCACACACTCATTCTTATCATTTGGCATTTATGCCTTTTTCCATTTTCATAACCTAGACATATATACTCCCTCCATTTTCTAAAATAGTTCTTCTTTCGTTTTTTTGTTTGCAACAAACACTTCTACTTCGATAAAAAATGACTAATTAATCAAATTAAGTTGTTGTCATATACTTCATTCATTTTGCATTGATATAATAAGTTAATTAAATGAGATTTGTCTCTTTTTCCTTCGACATTAAAGACATAATTGGAAAGTTAAATTACGAAAATAAGTTTGACTGAAGTCAAAATAGGAATTGTTTTACCAAATGGATGGAGTATATTATTATTCCCTCTCTCGTTAAAAGTTTTTTTCTCTTTTCTTTTTTCCCCCAAAATAATCCTTTTTTTCCTTTTTAATTACTTTTACCCCTATTAATTAATTTTTATTATACTTATCACATCATATCTATTCTTTTACTTTTTCCGTGTTGTAAAATTTTTTAACTTTCACATCTTAGTTAGTTGTCTCATAAAACATTTCAATTTGGGTTAAATGGACACAATGTCATCTATTTTTCTTAAATCTAACTGAACATATTTTTACTACCTTCTACGCCCTGCCCATTTTGATATTTCTAATCACTACTCATTTCAATTGTATTCGTTTCACCTAAGTCAAACTACTACAGTTTTCCCTCCCAAAAGTCAAAACACAGAATGTTTTGTGAGACGGAGAAAGTATAATTTATCTATAACAACCTACTTTTACCACGATATCAAAGTAATTTGAGAAAGCCAACACAGGAAATATCATTTTCTTAAATCTCACAAAAATCCAAATAAAAAAGAGATTTAAGGACAGAAAAAATCATATTTTACGCGAATCAATCTACTTACAAGACATTTACATGGCACTCCATTAAGTGGGTGTTTCTCTGTGTTGGTGGTAGTTAAGTTATTGCTTATAAGTAGTTTTTAACTTAATTATAAGTTGCTTATAAATTAAAAATTCTTCTGTGTAGATAAAATGATTTAAATGATACTTTGTATATAAGTTAATTATCTGGGAATATGCATGATGGATAAGAGAAAAAATTGTATATAATTTGGTCAAAACGGAGAAACAAATTAGCTTAATAATAAATAAGTAAAATCTACTAATTTCTTTTAACTTATAACCAGGTTATAAGATAACTTATAAGCACACAATACTTTTGACAAGCTTATAATGACAAAACAACATACTCCCTATTAAACCACGACACATTGCAGGTCCACTGCTATTCGCACCGACGTTTATCATGACATTTGTCTACATTCCTTTCTACAAAGAGAGGTCAAACTGTCAACGTGCCACAAAATATTTATAAGTGAAGAAGAATTATTTTCATTGATTAAATTGTGAGGAGAGTTCATGTATATATACAAAAGTCTCAATCCTAATTAAGGTAGGAGAGACAATCTAGGAAACCTATACAAATATGGTAACAATAATAATACAATAATAATACAATAATATTAAATATATTATATATATTTAACATGTTCCCGGCTACGTCGGCAGTGCTGGGGGTCGGATACCCAGGCTTTCTCTGAAGTCGAGAAATAATTGTGAGGGCAGTCCCTTTGTGAAGATATCAGCAAACTGAGAAGATGACGGAACATGCAGGACTTTGATCTGACCGAGCGCCACCTTATCACGCACAAAGTGTATGTCAACCTCGATGTGCTTGGTGCGCTGATGCTGCACCGGGTTTGACGAAAGGTAGACCGCACTGACATTATCACAAAAGACAAGTGTGGCGCGACGGAGTGGCTGCTGGAGCTCAATGAGAAGGTTTCGGATCCAGCTGGTTTCAACAACAGCATTTGCTACAGCCCGATATTCTGCCTCGGCGCTGGAGCGAGAAGTAGTGGCCTAGCGCTTAGACGACCATGAGACAAGGTTGTCGCCGAGGAAAACGCAGTAGCCCGAAGTAGAACGTCTGGTATCAGGACAGCCAGCCCAATCAGCGTCTGAATAAGCCTGTAGGTAGTCGGTGGCGGATCTTGTCAAGTAAATGCCATGAGTGGCAGTGCCACTGAGATACCGGAGAACACGCTTCATTGCTGTAAAGTGGGCGTCGTGCGGGGCATGGAGGTGTAGGCAGAGCTGCTGGACTGCATATGTGATGTCAGGACGAGTGAATGTGAGGTACTGCAGCGCGCCAACAATGGATCGGTAAAGGGAGGGGTCGGAGAGCGCCGTGCCAGCTAACGCAGACAGCTTCGCCTTTGTATCCACCGGGGTTGAGATGGGCCGACATGTAACACCCCGGCCCCCACCCTGGC